TGCTTGAAAATTAAGCGAGCACGGACTTGCCTAATGTGAGAGGAAGTTGTAAATTGCATCGAAAACTACCCCTTTCTTGCATTCACTGTAATTTCTAAACGGGGTCAAATATTTGTTGACAGTTTTCGACAATCGGCAGCCCATTTATTCCTCTCATAATGCCTCAGCGGATTTTTTTTTTTCGTTAATTACTTAATGACTTATTGGCCTGAACACGTGACGCGGAATTTTTCAAAAAGTCAAAAAAAACTAAAATTGTCGCACAGCGCTGAAATTTGGTACGATGGCTTTATTTATTGTTCTTATGAATATACTGCAATTTTAATTGCTTCACATGACTGCTGCAACAACACTCAACCAAATAGTAACAGCATAAATAAAAAGAAGTTGTTCTTTGATTTAATGAACAATTCATTAAAATCGGTCCAAAGAACTGCTTCTTTGATCACATGAACTCTACGTTATTAAAGGAAGAACAATTTCTTAATTCCTAGTTCGATTCATCTTGTGTATAAACAACGAACATTGAAGTATGTGGCAAGATTTTTGTATTAATGAAACTTTCCATAGTAACAATGAACATCGTTTTTAGTTTATATGTACTGTTTCATTGGCCTGATGAACAGACGGCATAATATTTATGAAGCCCAGATATAATTCGATGAAACCCTTTCATTGTATTTATGAATCAAAGTCTTGAATACTAAGAATTTCATTCATTGTATTTATTAATGCCGTTTTCAATAATATGTACCCTATTCTTTATTTTTATTGAATTATGCCTTAAATATACTTATGATTTTAAATGGGGTACAGGGTAATTTTTTATATTTGCGTGACCCCTGTACTGGTGAATATGAGCAATAGGAGAAAAGCTTCTAATGCAGAAGTTGTATGATTTCTTCGTATCATCTTCCAGAATTATCAAACAAACCAATATGGGCATCCCAAAATCTGAAAATTCAAAAATCTAAGTACTTATGTATTTTTATTTCAAATGACACTTACTGTATATATTATCTTTGAAATCCTCCTTAAATCCTGTTTCCATAAATATATAAAACTATGTCTATGTTTGTTCCAGCTGTTTTTGAACTATCAACATCCAAAGTTTCTTAAACAAGCCACGTCAGAAAAAAAATTCTTTAATATCAGGGTTTAATTTCATAATATCAATGAACTTAGTTCATGTAACCGATGCACTATTCAACATAGATTCATGTATCTGACTATTCATAACTTACTGAAGCATCATTCTTTATTCCAATGATAGCTGTTCATGAAATCATGATACTTACAGTTTTCTGTACTTAGGATTAATGAAAATTTCACTGAATCAATGAAAATGTAATTGATGAAAGCAGTTCATTGATATTATAATGAAGATTTTTTTGAGTGAACTAGAATTGCAGTATATTTATGAGAACAATAAATGAAGCCATCGTACCAAATTTCAGCGCTGTGCGAAAATTTTAGTTTTTTTTGGCTTTTTGAATAATTCCGCGTCACGTGTTCAGGCCAATAAGTCATTGAGTAATTAACGAAAAAAAAATCTGCTGGGACATTATGAGAGGAATAAATGGGCTGCCGATTGTCGAAAACTGTCAACAAATATTTGACCCCGCTATGTTATTTAGCATATTAAAATGGACCGATCCCCGCAGAAAAATGTTAACTTCTAATTATGTTGAGGTAAACCCTCTTTTCAGATCCCCGTTTCTTGGACTATTAGCGATATTATGAAAGTGATATGTTTCTATTCTAGTTTTTGAGCTAGGGCGAAAATACTAAAATAATGAAGTTAACAGCCCTCTATCAAAAAAGTTTACAAAGATAAAATTGAGTTTGTATTTTTCTGAAATTAAGTAATGTATGTAGAGTCATTTCAGGATGATCATGGCACTCTAGTAAAAAAATTAAAATTAAATTTAAAAACAAAATTTGGACAAAACTCGATTCAAAAGTGATGCATTAGGACGTAAAACGATCTATAGAATCCGAAAAACAAAAAATATACAGGGTGTGCCATTTAAAAATCAAAAGTTCCTGTCACTTCCGGTGGAACCGGAAGTCAGGAAAACTTGTAATAAATGCATGAAAATGGCGTTTGGTTAGAATATCAACTCTACCAAGTTTCGTTGATATCGATAGACAAATAAAAAAATGGCAGCCGGATCTCGTGGGCACCCGATATACCCTCATTTAAATACCCTAGACATAAATAAAGGGACCACGGCCAGACAATATACCGCAATCACTGCTCAGACATTGCAGCTTTGTCCTAGCCCGACCACTATTATATATTTTCAACTTGTCTCTTTCAAAGGGAATTTTCCCCGAATTCTCGAAACTAAGCTACCTAACATCAATTCACAAATTAGGCAATCTGATAACGAACTATCGACCAATTAGTATTCTGACTTCTGAGTGCCATCCCCAAAATATTTGAACACATACCTACTAACTAAATACTCGAAGGCGTTCGATGAGGTTAACCACGCCGTCCTTTTGTCTAAGCTGGAGCTTGTGGGTGTTGGAGGTTCGTTGCTGCGCTGGTTGAAGAGTTATATAAGAACGATCTCAACTAGTCCGATTCAACAATTTTCAATCCAAAAACATTCAAGTACCATCTGGATTCTTCTAGAGGTCGCATCTTGGCCCTCTTCTCTTCAATTTTTCATCAATGATCTAACATTTTCTACTTCGAACACAGTCAGTTTCTCCTTTTCGCCGATGATTTGCAATCAATTACTTATTTTTCCAGATGTCGATGAACAACCTGCGATGTGTACCTATATCCATTGTTAAGTAAATTTCCGACTACGTAGAACTGAAATTGGTTAGTCGAGATTGCCCCCGCATGCATGTTTTTCATGATAAATCATTAAAAATGAATTCGGGAAATTTGTAATTCGCATTTTCGGACTCATTCGCACCCTTATAACTGATAAGTACCTACCCCACCACCCCCTGGCTAGCTAACATTGTTCGATGTTCATTATGGAATTTTCCGTTCAAAAAAGTTTCGTGCTGCCCGGGAGTGATTACCGTTTACAACCCCTCAGCAGATACCCCCACCGTCACCTAGCCAGCTGACACCCCGAAAGTATATCTGCACAATGTGGGTACAATCGAATAAAAATATAAAGAAACTGCCCGAAATTTTTGTACACAGGCTCCAGGACTATTAGTTTTGTTCCTGGTATCATGACCATGTGTGCCCTCATCCCTCATGACCTGCAAATGCACACTCGTTCTCTTTCATGAACAGCAAGTTCTGAACACCGGGGGAAAAGTGAGCACACCCAATTCCACGAAAGCAGCCTTGCAATCCTCCTGGTATCCAAATCCCGCGATATTTCGGATGGCCCTTCTCTGCAGTCTGGAGACCCTCTCGGCATGTCCTGAGGCCGTCCAGGCAATCGTTCCATAGGACATAACACTGTGGAAGAATGCATAGTAAGCATTCTTCAGCGTTACATTTGACACACACTCATCCAAAGAAGGAGGCACAATTGACATTAAAAATAGGCCCCCGTGAATTTCAACCAAATTCCAATATTTTAAAGGTATCATAATTGCAAAAACAAATTTGAAATGTAAAGAGGATCGATATGTCTGTGAGAGCAGATATAGCTCATCAAAGTACGTAGGTCCTACTATGCTATGCATAGGAAATATCCGAGGAAATATGCCTACGTAGATTTTCTTACATATATGGCAAAATACTAATCCGATTTTGAAGTTTTTGGGGTCCTTTTGTAGGTATCAAACTCCAAAAAGTCAAAATCGGATTAGTATTTTTCGGGATATTCAAGAAAATCTACATAGGGATATTTCCTTGGATATTTCCTATGAATAGCATAGCAGGACCTACGTACTTTGATGAGCTTTACATTTCAAATTTTTTCTTGCAATGATGATACCATTAAAATATTGAAATTTGGTTGAAATTTAGCCTATTTTCAATGTAAATTGTGCCTCCTGAATTCTTTCTCAAGACAAACACAGTACCTCTCAACTTCTTGCACGCAGTCTCAACTTGGTCCCCCAGGTTGGTTAGCTAATTGGGATCTATCCTCACCCCCAAAAAGGCGATTGAATGGAAAGTGGCTTCATATAAATTTGACGTATCTATACTTCCTAAATTATGGTGTCAGATTCTGAATTCAAGAACAGAATTCAGGATCTGAATTCCGGCACATCGCAGCACACATATCTTTTGTGTGAGCTTGTATATTTGAAACATGGAACATGCGTTATGAATTATAATCTCAATTTTTCAGATTCGGAATTCAAAACGCTCGTCAGAGTCACTCTAGCAGATCGATATGAAATATTCATAATCTGAAAAAGAATGTGTGTGCTGTATAGTAAAAATATACAGGGGACAAAAGAGGAACCATAGAGAAGTAGTTTGAGATAGGACACCGATGGTCGGAAGTCCGTCGTTTCCAAAATACAGGGTGTTGAAATTTAAGCAACCCCCTTTCATATCATCTGAACGGCTTAACACTAGGCTGTTCGAATTTTCAGGGATTATTTAAGTATGTAAAATTCGTATAATGCATCTTTATTTTCTACCTGGAACCACCCCAAAAAAACGGGGAGACCTTGTATACAATTCCGTACGTTATGAATTCAGATTATGAATTCCATTTCTGAATCAGAAAGACATTCCAGCTGTATGAAGCCAGCCTAAAAGTCTAATTTCATTTAATTTTCTGAATCAGATACCGGAATATTCGTTTTTTTTTTGGGGTTTATTTACAAATTGAAATGTTAATTTTTTTTTTTCAAGCCTTTCTCGGGGCTCCACTTTACACCGGGCCCAAGGCCCGGGCCTTATGTGCCTTTTGGTAAAATAGGCCCTGGGAGAATGAGGAGGTGGAGGAACTTTGTATGAAAGTATTTGTTTTTTGAAGTTAGATTCTATTATCACATTTTAAGGAGGTGAAAGTTTGTATGGGGGTATTGTTTTTTTTTTGTAAACACGAATGTAATAAATAAATATAATTTCTCAAATTTGTTTATTTCAAAAGCTGGGTTCTTTTACAACCTGCTATTACCTATACAAGATTGATAAATATTAACATAATTTTATAATTTAACCAACACATGTTGTTCCTGCGATAGCATCATCCACTTTAACTTTCAAAATTCGATAATTTACTTGATTGCCGTCAAGTTCGTGGTAGATAAACTGGGGCATTTTATCCGAAAGTATCCACAAGTTTCTATCAGAATCAATCTGAAAAGTATTTAAAGTTGAGAATCTATAAAAAAATCTGTTAAGTAAGTTAATAAGTTGCTGCATAGAAAAAAAACTTGGTAGGTACGGTACCAATTTTTAACATAAATGAAATCTAATTTTTCGAACGAACGAAAATTGTACTTTTTTGTGAAATTTCAGTTACAAGCATTCGGAGCAACAGCTTCAAATCTAACTTTTTTAATAAAAATTGAATCTCTTTTTTGTAATTGCAGTTACTTTCAACTGCACATAATCGAGTATCTACTCGGACTAATAGCAGAGGGCTTTTTTTCCGAGCAATCCCAAAATTGCCTCATAGGGCTGTTCGTAGGCCTAGGCCCGAGGTTATACAAGCAAAAATTTCCTGTGATGCTCATACGAAACAAGCATCTAGTTAAAAATTAAACAAAGGCAGTGATATCTGATATCGTTAATATTATTAAGTACTACTACTATAAGTTATACGGATTGAAACTTAGTCAAAGATCTTTTTACACGAAAAATGTGAATTAAAATTAAAATTATGTGCATTGCTTGCAGTAAATAATAACGTTAGCTATCTATATGTATGATTAATTATGACTACTAACCTTTATATCGTTGGTGAAAATAAGTTTTTCTTTATCACTCACAAACAAAGCAACATTTTCTGGTTCCAGGGCCTTCTTTGGATTCCAACAAGCTATACCGTCTTTATTCAATTGCGTGAGAAACAACGTATTGGATTTTTGATCAAACACTGAAGCTGATGTTTGGGATTTGTCTCCTTTAAATCCCTCCAACTAAAAATTTTAATAATTAGGATACCTAGATGATCTATTTAAACTAGGCAAACTAAGCCAAATCAAATACCTACCTTAAACTCATAATAAATATGAGGGTCGCTAGTTAAAGTCTTGTTTCTCAGAACAGCAGAGTTCACTGAAAACTCATTCAAGCTGGCCAAAGGATGGAAGAAGACTGTGCGGAATCTGAAAGTTATACATGAACACTATTTAAAACAGTTCAAGTAAAATAGGTACCCTTGCTGATCTGGAGTTCCTAACGCCAGACCAAAAACTCCATCGGTCCATTGGAAATTAACACCACCAACGTTAAAGTCTCCATGAAGAGGGTCGAAATGGAAATAGTTGTGTTTGAATCTCCAAGAATCATCGTCTTTGAGGGAATAGACTACAATACCATATCCACCCAGATCGGGAATGTATGCGAAAGCTTCCTCGCATTTGTTTTTATCTACATCTATAATCTAAAAATACATCGTTTAATATTTTGCAATTTTATTTTATAGAGGAGTTCTTATTATATTTCCCTTTATATTTCCTTTTTTTTTCAGGCATTAGTCAACGGTTGAAAAAATGGTTGTTTGGTCAACAAGGCTGACATTACCTTACTCAATAAGTGCCCGATTTATTTTTTTGAGGAAGGACCATTTGCAATTTTCATCAATTATTAAAATCATTATTAGTACCGAACCCATTGCAACAAAACTTGAGGGTATTTAGGTATTCGTAGCAGGTATCTAGTTATGAATAAAAAAAATTGGGCATGTTAACTAAAAAAATATAGCGTATTTGAAGGGATATCCCAAATTAAATATCACCTACAGTCACCTCATCGTTGCCACTTTTTCTCCTCTACAAGATGGTACCATCAATTTTAAAATTTGACGTTTCGTCTTTGGGCCACCATCATCAATTTCATTTTTTTAAATACGGACCCTTTTTTTCTATTTCAGATTTTATAAGCTTCTGATGTTGCAAAACCAACGACGTATTGCACTTATTCGAAACATTTCTATTCTTGGCACTTTCCATAAGAACTTAATGTGTTAGAGTTAGAGAGAGACAGATAAGAGAATTTTGGTAGGAAATTACTAAAAAGTAAAAGAAATATTTTTTCAAATAAATGCTATGTCATTAGTTTTGGGACATCAGAAGCTCCTAAAATCTGAAATATAAAATCAAGGGCGGTATTTAAAAAAATAAAGTTGATGATGGTGGCCCACAGACGAAACGTCAGATTTTCAATTTGATGGTAGCATATTGTAAACAAAAAAAACTGGCAACGATGAAATGGCATTTATTTTGGGATACCTCGTCAAATAAGCTCAGAAAAAAATAAAAACGCTTTTGTAAAATTTCGGTTTATTCCAAATATTTCCGCAACTACTCGGAATTTTCAAATTTTCAAAACGGTATTTTGTTGAACATAAAATTGCGCAACTTTGCCTCAGTTTAATCGACCTCGTATCTCTTATGGTTTTCAATATCCCCATGCACACGCTTGAATTTGTAACACCCTGTATAATCCAAACTATTCTCATCTATGCCTAATTTGGAAAAAAAGCAAAATCTCATTCAATAATGGATATAGCCCAATTTTTTTTGAAACATCAAGACGAAACAGAATTTAGAAAACCTAAAAGACAATAGCAGCTGAACACTAACCAACTCAAATTCGCCTCTATACCTTGAATGAGCCCTTTCTCTGATAGGATTGCTTTGCAAAGTCATCGATTCAGGTTACAATAACACTTATCAAATTACTTTAAGGAATGCAAGTTCTTTGGGTTCTAATCTTTTGGACAGTGAAGTCAAAGATGACCGTGTGAAGAACAGTGGAATCTATAGGCTCACTTGCAATCCGTGCTGAACATCTCACATTGGTATAACTTGTAGCCCTCTGGAAGTGAGAATTGAAGAACATCTCAACACGTACCTTCATCTTTCTCCTACCGTTTTCACATTAAATGTAACAATCACAGTTCCTCCGCAAATAATTGCAAAATTATTCATAGCATCAATTCCAGAAAACTCAAGCTATGTGAGGACCTGTACATTCTTAACACGCAGGTTGGCTCGAATTATAGAATGAAAAACCAGAGTGAAACATGCTTAAACAGGCAAAGAAGATTTGTTGTTTAATATGGAATAATTATTGGAACAATTACTTTACATTCATAAGCCTAGAGTAATTTATGCAACTATTGCATTCTGGTTCGGGGGTTGGTCAATAAGAAGTCTTGACCACAAAACTGACCTACCTATTTCGAGTACAGGACAGGATCTAAGTCGGGTTTATAATAAAGCATTTATTATAAAGCTTAGGTACATGGATCATATTTAAAACATATGTCAAAAACAACAATAGACGAAGTTGACAATTTTGTTAAATAGGTATATATCTGTTTTATAGGTTGAATCAATCCTACCCAGATAGTAAGTGAGGTAGCTTGTTAACTCTCAATGCAGGGTCAATTACTAGACATTAGAGTCTATAGAACTGAGCCAAGGTCGAACTAAAACGACTTTATATTTTCAGATAAAGAAAAATAAATGTGTCATTATTATTCCCAGAACTTATGTTAAGAAATGGAAATTATAATATACTTAGTTTAATTACCATTCAAAATTTATATTGTTAAAACTTAACGCAATACACCTCTAATACCCATACAATTTACAACAATAACGCATTTACACGTGTTACAATGCTAAAAACAAGAATAATATATAGTAATTATGTAAAGTATTCACATGCAAATGAATCATCCGAAATAATAATAAACACTTTCAGTTGTGGTTATGGTTTTGTAATAAAATGTCTTACTTACAATGTTGGCAAAGAAAGAATCTTGCTTCAGGTCTTCATGTTTCAAGTTATACCGTTTAAGAAGTTGGTCGGTGTTCAAATCATAGATGAGAATTGCTGGTGATCCAAGAACCTTTGGATCTCCTAAAATATCAGCTAAGCCAGTGTCTAAAACCCATAGACGATCACACGAATCCACTGCAACCCTTTTTGGAAAATACATGCCAAAAGTTATTTCAATATTATTCAGAGCTTTTTTAAATACATACCTAAATACTGATACAATATGGTTATCTCCCTCTAGTTTCGCATCTCCCTTAGGCAAAGTATTAGCTTCCCAATTAGGATATGGGATAACTGAGGCGGTTTTGTTGATAGGTTCGTCGAGAGAAACGTAACCGAGTGAAGCTGCTACACCACTTTTCCACCTAAAAAAAAAAATCCTCAAAACGAGTCGAAAGCGTGCATATATCTAAATGGAAAATACCACAATGAGACAAACCTTCTCTACTTGCCAGTTTAAAAAAAATTACTTTTCTTATTAGATAGGAAACATTTCCGCATTTGGCAATAAGTCGTTTTGATTTATGTGGAAATGACAGGAATATTCCATCATGTTTGAGAATTAGACAAGGTACCTACGTCAAGTAGGTACCTATCTCAATTTTGATTTTGCTACCGGACTTTATGTTTAAAAACAAGCAAACAGCCGAAATAGAGAAATATATTCGAATGTTGCTTCGTGAAAAATATCGAAGACAAGAAGAGGAAGCTCGAAGATAGAAAGGAAGACAAGAAGAGAAAGCCGAACACAGAGAGAAAAACAAGAAAATAAAGCCTGAGGACAGAAAGGAAGGCATGAAGAATAATCCCGAAGACAAGAAGAACCTTTTATTCCGATCTTCTTGTTGTTTTAACAGTGCTGCAACACCAAGAGGAAGCTCGAACATAGAAGGAAACACAGTGAACAGGACCGGCTTGCAGCACTTTTACAACCACAAGAAGATCGGAGATCAAAAGAAAAACAGGAACATCGCCGGCTTATGTGAAGAAATTGGGAGTGTTCGTCTGGAAGATGAAACCTTTCGCCAAGAAATGGATAGTATTCCGAAGAGAAATAAAAAGTTGGGATATGATTCGATATCAGAAAATGTTTCAGCTTCGCCTTCAACCGGTATTAGAGTTAAACCACCACCACCACACACACCACCATCGACGGTCAGACATCATGGGCGATGTTGGTACAGACGTCAGTTCGAGGCGGTTGCAATGGCTAATGCGGTTGGAGCTTTGATGACTAGGTAAAGGCTTGATTGTAGCATTTCAGGGCCGAGCCTGAGACCTGTTAGACTCTCCTACGCCAACTGCGCAAGAAAACGACGCTGCGTTTGTTGATACGGTATAGAGCAACGTTATGATGATCAACACCTACGGCAGCTTTACCACATACAGTTAAGAATAAGATAACAAAAATTTGTCGCAAGATAACAAGAATTTGAATGCGGCAGTTACCGTCTGGTTAATTTGGACTAGCTGCCAAAAAATTTCATAAATGGAATTTTAGAGATATTGTCGCGGTGCGCTTTCGCCATGGTGTACAGAATCTAACTTGAAATCTAGAAAATACTGCCTTATTCGGGCAAAGAGATAATCGCGTTTATTTTGGATTTCACAAGAATAGATTACAGATATATGAAGGACTGTATTAGTTAGTAGTTTTAAGTTTAGGATTGGCTGTGATACGTTATAGATAAATTATTAAGAGTTGTAAAGAGTAAAGTTGTTTGAGTTAATTAGTGGAGTAATTAGTGCCAGAGTGTGTAGTAACGTGGAATAGTTGTGTTAATTGGACTCTAGATTTCTGTCAGGCACCCTAGAGATATGACATTGGTGTCAGAAGTGAGATATAATTCGAGGACTGTAAAGTGAAATCCGATTGCAGAGTAGTGTGGACACTATTCCGGACACTAAGTGAACACTGGGACAATAAGTCAGTGTAAGCAGTGACAATCACAAAAAGAGATTTAACCGATTGTGTAAATTACCCCGGAAGTGACTGTATACCCGATTTTGACTGTGATAGTGAATCTTCAAGTAAGTTCTAGAAAATTTTATTTGGAAATCAAGGGAGATATCGAATTTTTGGCTTCATCGACCTGTTTGCTATGTCAATCGACATTCAGAAAAGACATTCCAAGAAAATTAGAGAACATTCCATTCGAGTATAAAGCAAGTTATCCAATTTGTGACTTCACCGACGTGTTTGGAACTTCAAACTTCAATCAAAAGCCAGGAAAGATATTTGAAGAGAATTTAAGGAAAATTCCAGAACATTCTGTATATGCCTATTACTGACAACGAGCAAAAATGGAAGAACAAAAAGAATTGAAGAACTTCTGCGCAAAATGTTGGAACTTCAAGAGACCAAACGACAACAAGAAAAACAGGACGAAGAAGCTAAACGACAACAAGAAAAACAAAATAAGACGGAGAGGCCGAACGACAAAAGGAAAAACAAGCAGAAGAAGCTAAACGACAACAAGAAAAACAAGACGAAGAGGCCAGGCGACATTAAGAACGGCATGCAAGGAGACCTTGGACAACAACAGATAATATTTCAAACCATACACGGATTTGTCACTAACCTGGAACAAAAGATTAAGGAAGTGAAAGCCGAAGATGTTCAAGAAGTAAAAGACAATATTCAAGAAGTTAAAGACGATGTTCAGCAATTAAGACAAGAAGTTGAGAACCAAGTTCAAGCACTTGAAGATAAGGTCAATAAATTTGAAATACAGTCCATCAATCCACGAAGTTTTGGAGCATCATTCTCTAGTGTGAAGATAAAACCACCAACTTTTGATGGTTCTACGTCCTGGGCCATATATATCCGACAATTTGAAGCCGCTGTGAACACCAACGGATGAAACGATCAAAAAAAAGCTACAGCACTGATAGTGGCGCTACGAGGACCTGCCTTAGATCTTCACTCGATTCCTTCAATCTACCAACACAATTACCAGCATCTAAATCCGACGTTAGAATTGCGCTTCGAAGACCATTACAGGAAGGAAGTATTTAGAGCTCAAGTTAAGTCAAGAATTCAACCCGGCGAGAGTTTACAAGAATTCGAATCGGAAGTTAAGACGCTAGTGAGTTTGGCGTTTCCTGCAGCTGGGAAAGACATGCAGGAATGGATGGTAGTATCTGCGTTCATTGATGGCCTCAGAGATTCCAAGATCCAGGGAACCCTGAGAATGTCTAAGTTCAGACAAAGTAACGAAGCCCTTGTCCGAGCATTGGAACTGGAAGCAATCTTTGGTGCCTCACGATCCAGAATACGAGCGCTGTCCATTGAAGACCCAAAGGATAAACAATCGTCAAAAGAGGATGGTAACTTTGAGAAGGCTATGAGAAATTTTATGGAGAAACTCGTACTAGAAGTTACACAAATGGGAAACGACTCCAAACAAACACCAACACCGAGAAACCCCAGTAAAATATTACTACAGGTACCATAAGCTTGGACATATATGCAATGGAATTGTAGACTGAGGGTGTCCTCTCCATCTAGGGATCGTTCCCAACGCTATCGGAGTTCTAGAGACGCCAGTTCTGAACATCGACCTAGAAACCTGCATGAAAACGCTGATGCTCTGTCTAGACGGCCATGTAAAGAAGAATGCAAGCATCATCAAAAAATCTATACGCATGAGAAAAACACTGTTCCAGCTGTGAGAAGAACAGGTCTTATCATTAATGATAAATGGACTACCAAACAAATGAGAGCAGATCAAGAAGCAGACCAGGACATCGGGCAAATTCTACATCTTAAAGAAAATGATGAATGTAGAATGTAGGCCAGAACGGAGGGAACTGTCGAACAAGAGTTTGAATTACAAGGCGTTGTGGGCTCAGTGGAACTCTCTGGCCGTAGAAAATGGTTTACTTAAAAAAGTTTGGGAAAGTGCCGATGGGAAATCTACTAAGAGCTAATTGGTTATTTCAAAAGATCGAGTAGAAGATGTATTAAAAGAAATACATGACGGAACTTCAGGGGCACATTTTGGAGTTAACAAGACTTTGGACAAAATTCGGGGACGTTTTCACTGGATTCACTATCATGAAGTGGAGACGTTAAAAACTGGAGTCGATATCTGTGCTACCAGTAAAGGCCCTAAACTAAGATCTCGGGGGCCCATGAAACAGTACAACGTCGGTCTCCCATTTGAACGAATAGCGATACATATTGCCGGACCGTTCCCTGAGTCAGAGCGTGGTAACAAATAAATCTTGGTTATCATGGATTACTTCGGTAAATGGCCAGAAGTTTTCGCTATTGCCAATCAAGAAGCCATCACTATTGCCCAGGTGTTAGTGGACGAAGTTTTCAGTCTTCATGGTGGGCCACTAGAGTTGTATTCAGATCAGGTACAAAACTTCGAATCTGTCATATTTAAGAAAATTTGTGAGATCATGGGCATTCGTAAGACAAGGACAACATCTTTACATCCACAGTCTGATGGCATGGCAGAACGATCTAATTTAAGAAGATAGACATGACAAAAGTAGTCGCAAAGAACCAGCGAGATTGGGACAAACACTTGCCTCTATTTTAAATGGCTTACAGAGCAGCTGTTCACGAGTCAACAGGTGAAAGACCAGCTGGTCGTTTTTTGAAGGGAACTCAGGCTGCATTTCACCCCGTACTTTACAGTCACTGCCTTAGAATATATGTTACTAAAGATTGGGAGGATGCGACTGATGAATCAGAGGGTCAATATCATTTTTCGAATAGCCGTTCCACAAATTCCACGTATAAGAAATACTACGAGTGCTACGACCGTCGATGACAAGGCGACTGGCAGCATGGCAGTGAACAAGGTTCGGGCGGCCATTTTTCTAATTCCCGCAACGTCATTCCATTCCATCGGAAGAGGAACCACGCAGGCGTGAGAAAAGACCTGGATGGACAGGAAGGCATCCTAGAAGGCATTCATTTGACAGGCATACAGATAGTTGCGGACCCAGCCCCTGCGGGGCCTGACGCAAAGAATTTTTTGGGGCCCTGTATCAGACTGTTTTTAAAATTTTTGAAGGCCAAATATAAAAACAAATTTAATTGAACTACAGGTTTATTAGGAACATATGAGACAATATTATGAAAACAAGTTAAACCAAAAAATGTTTGAAATGTTTCAAGTCACATCCACTATTTTCCTTGGCGGGCGCTGCGTATTTCCAGCTAAATTGGTTGGTTAACTGCCATCTACTCCACTTAGGGCGGGTATTACAAAAGTATTTTGACAGAATAACTAAACGTTAACTTCTGGAATGACGTTTCTTCTCAATTGTCAGTAATTCCCAGGAGCTAACTTTCAGTTATCTGTCAAAATAGTTTTATAATAACCGCCCTTAGTATGTACAC